TCTCAGAAGGTTCGGAAGTCCCCCGGCCTTCTGAGAAGTTTTCTGAGCCTCCCCTGAAGACACAAAAAACTTCTCAGAAGGCGCGAGGGCTTCTGAGAAGTCCCGCCGCCTTCTTAGAAGGCCTTCTCCTTCTCATTTCCCGCCCTCGCTCGCCGCCGACTAGTGCCATACCGGCCGGGCGATCCCATCGGCGTCGTACCGTTTAAAAGGTGACAGGTCTGTTGCACAAACGCCGAACAAATAACACGCAGCTCCGTCTGCACCAGAGCGCTGCTGTCAACCAGCAGAACGGTGCCATGGGTAGCCGCGAGGAAAAGATCGTTCTTTATCCATTGGGAGTAACGCGTTACCAGGGAGGGGGTAGGTTGGCGGGGGGGGGGGCGGTAACGGCGGCCAGCGTGCACCCCCGAAGGCGCGACCGCAACTTCGGCGCAACAACCGCCTGCGTGCACCACAGCGCCTGCGCACACCGCAGTGCGTCTGTTCATCCTAACACCTGCGCGCAACGTGGCGCCACACCGCCTGTGTACACCATAGCGCCTGTGTACACCAGCACCCGTGTGCGCATCAGCGCCATTGCACACCACAGTGTGCACTGTTTCAGGCGGACGTCAAGCTCCCAGAACAGTACGCCGACGCCCTGGCGACACCGAGGGTCTGGCTGCTCGGCCACCTGCTGTCGCGCACTGAGCGGGCCGAGCGCTCCTCCCCTCGGCTGGTCTACAACGACGTCCTCGTGGTACTCGAGCCTTTTCTGGCCGAAGGCGGACACATGGCACGGCTGCTGGATCCTCGGATGCGCGCCCTGCTTCAGCCAGATGCCTGCTGCGAAGCCCTCCGCGCGTGGCGCGTTGCAGTGGACGGCTTCAAGGTACGGGTAATCAGCGACGTCCGCTGCGCAGCTGCCAACTTCTCGCGGGTCAACGGCCCTGCCTTATTCGCGACATCTTCCTTGTGCGCTTCCGTGCTCTGGTCGGGCTCAGCGAGCCCAAGATAGCCTCCACGATGGCCCAATCTACTTCAAGAAAGACCAAGATAGCCTTCGACGCACATCCAAGAGGCCTCAGGATGGCCCAAAGACGGTTTCAAGCGCCCTTCGAGTCGTCCAAGGACCTTCCCAGGAGGCCAAAATTGTCGGAACAAACCTAGAGAAATCTTTGTGTTTATGAACCTCGCCGTTTCGTTTCCGATGGGCCTGGGAGGCTTCAAGAGGCGACCTCAAGAGGCATCCCAGACTATCACTTTGCAAGGGCTTTGCAGGGTCTTTGCAGGGTCTCCCCCTGCAAAGACCCTGCAAAGAGGGGACCCCTCTTTTGCTGGTTATGGAGCCTCCTAATGTCTCCTTCTCCCTGTTCGTCCCACGCCTCCTCCTCGACGACCTTGTCCTCCTCCTCCTCATCCTCCTCCTCCCCCGCCTGCTCATCAAGATCCTCTTGTTCCGTCACAACCTTCTCCTCCTCCTCCTCCTCCTCCTCCTCCTCATCATCATCATCATCATCATCATCATCATCGTCATCATCATCATCATCATCATCGTCATCATCATCATCATCATCATCAGCAGCAGCATCAGCAGCATCAGCACCAGCATCAGCGTCATCATCACCAGCATCATCACCATCATCATCATCAGCAGCATCGGCCTCATCATCATCAGCAGCATCATCAGCGTCATCATCAGCATCACCATTCTGATCCTAATCCTCATCTTCATCAGCATCATCATCATCAGCAGCATCATCATCCTCATCAGCATCACCACCACCACCATCATCGTCATCATCATCATCAGCATCATCATCATCATCATCCTCACCAGCATCATCACCACCACCACCATCATCATCATCAACATCACAATCATCACCATCATCATCATCACCATCATCATCATCATCATCATCATCATAATCTTCCTCCGCCTCCTCTTTTTATCCCTTCGAATCCCAAAATGAATGCGTTCGGAGGCCCCCCGGGCTGCCCGCAACCGAAGATCAGAGAGCAAGCCCCGAGTCGCCGTGTTTGAGCCTCCGATGGGGGGGCCTAAAATGAGGACCCTCCTCTTTTTAAGCCACGGGGGCCAAAACGACCCCAAGAGGCCTCCCAGATCCCCCCATGGAGCTACAAAAGGGCCCCAAGACCCCCCAAACGAGGCCCCAAAGCTTCCCCAAAGTGCCCCAACAGGCTCCGCGAGAACCCCAAGAGACCCAAAATGGTTCCAAAGGACCCCCGAGAGAACAATTCCAAGGCGGCTGTTACACAGCATGTTTCTACACTTTCCTGCTCAAGGCAACTCGCCTGGCGATCTGTTTCTGGATGGGCTGGTGGAGATACATGTTGACCGCGACCGCGAGCGGACACCCATGCTGCGTCACAAAGTCAGGCAAACAAGCGAGGTGCAGCTAAGAAAGGCTGGTGGAGATACTTTTTGGATTGACGGTTCCAAGGACAGCACCAGGAAACGGGACGGTCTCGGCTGGGGCACAGGGCGAGATAATTGGCTACGACGGCGCATAGGCCGACGCAACAAATGCACGCGCCAGGGACAAAATGCCCCCCATTAAGATGCGGGCGACCCAGGAGCGGGGACGCAGGCATCATACTGAAACAGACGGAGGAGAAGTCGCACAGTGGCGCCAGCTCGAACCGTACCGACCAGCGCGTACTGGCGTGGGTCACGCGGCGCTGAGGCAACACGGGGGGCCCGTGAGGCCACACCGTCCATCACGACGAGGAGGCGAGAGAGCGAGGAAAGGCGGCGGGCGCGAGAGCACGCGCGGGCAGAAGAGGGGGGGAACCGAGGAACGCCTCACTCACTTGGACTCCTGGGCGCAGTCGGGCATAAGCGACCGATCTATGCACGGAGACGTCGACCCAGTCTCGGAGTCCGCAACCTGCAACTGACTGACCCAGAATGCCGGGGGGATGCAGCTGCAAGCATGGCCGAGCACCACGGACCACCCTGCGGGAGGGCCGAGAACACTGCCAAAGGAAGTACCACTTGTGCAGTAGCAGGAGCTCGAAGGCGGCGTCCACCGTGGGAAGCGAGACAACCAAGTCGCCGGCGTAGAACGCGGGCAACTGAACATCACGGTGAACGGGGGCACATGGATGCGAGCGTCAACCGTGGTAGCAGGGGCGGACCTGATGGGGGGAACGACGGCGACCTGGTGGAGATATTTTTTTGATCAGCGGCTCCAAGGACGATTCCAGAGAGCGGGTCGTATCGAGCATGGGGCAGCACGCAAGATAATTGCCAGCGGGCCAAAAGCCGGCGCCGGAGTGCACATGCGCCAGAGAGAGCAAGCTTGGGGGGCCAAGCGAGATAATTACCAGCGGGCCAAAAGCCAACGCCGGGATGCACGTGCGAGGGGAGAACCCCAAGAGGCCCAGCAAAAGCAGGACGGCGAGCAGATAATTGCCAGCGGGCCAGAAACCGACGCCGGAGAAAACCTGCGGGGAAAATTGAACCGCATACCGACGAGCCCAGCACCCGGTGAAAGCGAGGCTTCAACCAGGACCTGGTGGAGATACGCTAAGCGTCAGAATTTTGAAGGGAGGGTGTATTGCAACAACGTTGATGAGTCCTGGGTTTACACTGGTCCTCGTCGTCCCCCTCCTCCTCCTCCTCCTCCTCCTCCTCCTCCTCCCCCTCCTCCTCCTCCTCCTCCTCCTCCTCCTCCTCCTCCTCCACCTCCTCCTCCGCCTCTCTCTCTCTCTCTCTCTCTCCCCGCCCCACCCCCTCGGCTTCCACCTCCGCCTCCGCCGCCGCCCCGTCGTCCTCGTCGTCCCCATCCGAAACCAAGTGGGAGCAAGCCAGTCCGACTGCTCACCATCTTTACTCGACCTCGTTTTGGTCGATGGAGCAGCCCGTCCCTCGACACATGATGCGGGATGCCGCCCCCCGGAAACGCTATGAACGGTCAGCCGGTGGCCCCTGGGGAGGTGCTCTGCGGACAGCCGTCCACGCCGTCGCTCGTGCGGCTGCCCAATTTGCGGACCGCCACCGGGCCTCGCCCGTGCTGCAGTCCGACTCGAGATTCCGTGGGGGCGGCGCGCGAAGAGGGCTGATCGGTGTGCCAGGCTCCGCACAGACGGCCAACCGAGGTTGGCGATTTGCCTGCTCTCGGTTCTTGGAGGCCTGCCTAGAATTTTCGAGCGGCTCATCCCGTATGCTGTCGGCCACGGCTTTGTTCCGGAACGAGTCGCTGGAGTTGTTTGTTCCTGCCCTGTCACTTGTGGCAAGACTTCTGGACGGAAGGCTCAACCAGCTTGCGCAAGGGAAGGAAACGGTTCTGCTCAGTGCGGATAAGCGCACAATTCGCACTTCCACCAGAGCTAGCGGTGACCGCCCAGATTTCGCCATCACGAGTGCCGATGCTCATTCCGTCGAGGATGCGGTGGTGCCTGCTGTTGAGCGAGCAAAAACAGATGTACATGTACGCCCACCGAGGTCCCGCGTGCACGAATGAACGCGTTCATACGCAGATCAGCGGAAGCTGACCACGTAAGTGTACGTATGTCCTTGGCCTCTGACCCGTACATGGTGCACATGGGAGAAGTGGGGGCCGCCGCAATGCTGGCCGCGGTCAGGGCATCCGGTGTCCGCAATCGGTGTGCCGCGGCCTTTCGGGGCTTCGCTGGACGGGACCCACACGGTCGCACCCCTGCTGCGGCCAAGCGTCAAGCCGCAGGCTTGAGCGTGATCCTGCGCTTCGCCGTAACTGGTGGCGTGTCTTCGACGATTGCCGTCGTACTCGCTGCAGCACCTGTCTGGCCAGTGTCGGTCGTTCGATGGCCCTGGCTCAGCTTGGGACTCCGTACTCTCTCCCCTCTTGGCCTCTATCTGCTGGTTTTGAGGCAGCCTGCGAATCTCCCCACGCTGTGCAACAGGAAACGGAGGGAGGAGAGAGGTGGGAGGAGGGGTGAGGACGAGGACGAGGGGAAAACACCAGGGGTAGGAGATAGCACGCGAAAGAAGGCTGCGGGAAAGCCCTTTCCTTCGGCCATCCAACCTCGCAGCCGGCCCGCGAGCGCCGCATGGTGCACGTCGAGCCAGTCCACGATTTGGGGCACGTCGGACTCGGTGACGTCCGAGACGAATACGGGGGCGTCCTTTAGAGGTGGAGGCGGAGAGGGGGGGAGGCGAGCAAGCTAGGGAAAGGCAAGGGGAGGGGAAGGGCGAGGGGAAGGGCGAGGAGGAAGGGAAAGGGGGAAGGGAAGGGCGAGGGGGAAGGGCGAGCGCGTCCTGTGGAGGGGAAGGGCGAGGGGGAAGGGAAAGGGGGGGAAGGCAGGAGAGGGAAAGGCAGACGAGAGAGAGGGGGGGGGGAGACGAGCAAGCCAGATGCGCTCGCGTCATACCTGACGTCCTACCCGTCCCTCCCATCCCTTACGATTGCGCTGATGCTGCCTCCATCCGCCGACGCGTGTCACAGCGAACCTGGAACTCCCAGAGAGACCCCATCGTGTCATGCGTAATCGGAACATGGGAGCTGCGTGCACAGGAGGAGGGAGGAGGGAGGAGGGAGGAGGGAGGAGGGAGGAGGAGGAGGAGGAGGGAGGAGGGAGGAGGAGGAGAATGAGCAGGATGAAAAGGAGGAAGGAGGAGGAGGAGGAGGGCGAGGACGACCATCCACGAGCAGCAGCAGCTGGAGCGGAAGGAGCGGGGGGAGCAGGAGGACCATGGGGAGGCGGAGGAGGGGAAACGAGAGGGGGCAACAACGATGAGAAGAGACTCGGATGCACCTCCTCCTCCTCCTCCTTCTCCTCCTCCTCCTCCTCCTCCTCCTCCTCCTCCTCCACCGCATCCTGCTCCTCCTCCTCCTCCTCCTCCTCCTCCCTCCTCCTCCTCCTCCTCCTCCTCCTCCCCCTCCCCCTCCCCCTCCCCCTCCCCCTTCTCCTCCTCTTCCTCCTCCTTCCACCATCGAGTCATGCGAAAAACACGGCGGGAGGCTTTTTGTTCGCTGCGTTCGGCCCCAGGAGGCCCTTTCCGGGGCCCCGGGGCCGTCCAGAAAAGCGGCGCGTGCTGGGGAGGAGCAGATCGACGATCCCAAAAGGAGGCCCACGCTGGAGCGGGAGCAGCAGTCTGCAGCTCCGAAGACTATCTGGCTGCAAGAGGCCATGACACCAAATTATCCTGGCGAGAGACCCAACCATATTCAGTTATGAGTAACGCATTGTGGGTGCCACGCGTGAGGGGCGCGCCGTAATGGGTGTGGCGGACGCGTGCGGGCACCCCCACTGGGGCCTTCGGTAGAGCTCCCTATGGGGCCACGAAACGCTGTGCTGGGTGTGGCGGACGCATGCGGGCACCCCCATTGGAGCCGTCGGTTCAGCTCCCTATGGGGCCATGAAACGTGTGAGGGGTGTCCCGAAAGGGGTGATGATGACGATCATGACGGTGATGGCGATGATGATGATGATGAGGATGGTGATGATGACGTCGATGGTGATGATGATGGTGATGGTGATGGTGATGGTGATGGTGATGGTGATGGTGATGGTGATGGTGATGATGATGCTGATGATGATGCTGATACTGCTACTGCTGCTGCTGCTGCTGCTGCTGCTGCTGATAATGATGATGATGATGATGATGATGATGATGATGATGATGATGATGATGATGATGATGATGATGATGATGATGATGATGATGATGATGATGATGATGGGGAGGAGGGGCGAGGAGGAGTGAACGCGGGGCGCTGTCTCTTCAAACCGAGGACCCAACACCACAGGATGGTTTGGAAAAACAACAAACAAAAACTTGATTCCCAAACCCAAAATAGAAACAATAGACGCGGAGGAGGCGGGATACCTCCCGTATTCACAATGTGTAATTGTGGAGGGGGGGGTGGAGGGAGGGAGAGGGGTAGAGGGGGAGCTTCCTCCTCCTCCTCCTCCTCCTCCTCTTCCCCCTCGTTATACTTCCCCTCGTTGTCCTTTTGTAGCTCCCTCCTGCCTCCTCCACTCTGTTGGAAGTGGTCATCAAGCACCGCACATAGAATCACAAGGCCTTGAAACACCTAAGAGCAGCAAGGTGTCCCCCTCCCCGTCATCATCCTCATCATCATCCTCGAAACCGTCGCTGTCCCGCCTGCCCCCCGTTGCCGGGACCACGAGACTGCGAGCATCATGTTTCACCAACTGAACGGCTTCGTTCTCACCAATACAGTGAAGCAACTCGCAACGTTGCAATCATCCTGCAGAGCTCAGCAACTCGGCAACCGTCATGTTCCACTCACCAGTTCGCACGTCAATGGCAGCCCACACCAGACTATCACAAGGTGAGGTACTAGGCTGCCGGGGCCACGCGCGACCCCGCGCGGCCCGAAAGGGCTGCGCTCCTGCCCCCGAACCACGCTCCCTCGGCTCCCGGGCCCCCTCGGGCACCTAGAGCAGTACACGTCGTTCATTTCTAATCGTGCTCATTTCTAATTGTGATCGTGTCCAACTGTTCCTGGCCCACTGGTGGCCAGGAAGAGGCCGAGGATAGAACAATCAGAAACGAAAGGATGATGGCCCCCCAAAAAGATCAAAGAGCTTTCGAAGAATTAGAAATGAACCATGTGTGTGCACCTGCGCCTTCGAGACCACAAGCCCTGAGGAAAGCCCGGGCTCCGCACCCCCGAGGCCGCGACCCTCCGCAGGGGGCGGTGGATCCAGGCTGCCGGGGCCACGATCCCTGGCAGGAAGCTCTGGACGTGCGCGCCCGAGGCCGCGAGCCCTCGTGACAAAAATTGGCCTCTGGCGAAGGACCCGACCATCTGCAGCTGTGGATACCGCAAGTGCGAACATCGTCTTCGGTGGAGCTCCCTGTGGGGCCGCGAAGCCTGTGATGGGTGTGCCGAAATGGGTGCGGGGGACGCATGCGGACGGTGGCACTGGGCCCTTCGGTGGAGCTCCCTGTGGGGCCGCGAAACGTGTTGAGGGGTGTGCCCACATGGAAGTGGGGGACGCATGCGGGCGGTGACATTGGGGCCTTCAGTGAAGCTCCCTATGAGGCCTCAAAACGTATGAGGGGTATGCCAACATGAGTGCGGGGAACGCATGTGAGCGGTGGCACTGGGGCCTTTGTGGGGCCGCGAAACGTTTGAGAGGTGTGCCCATATGTGTGTGGGGGACGCATGCGAGCGGTGGCACTGGGGTTTTCGGTCGGTTGAGCCCCCTCTGGGGCCACGAAGCCTGTGGGAGGCGTGCCCAACTGGGTGTGGGGTGCGCATGCGGGCGGTGGCACTGGGGCCTTCGGTGGAGCTCCCTGTGGGGCCGCGAAACGTGTGAGGGGTGGGGCCAAGTGGGTGTGGGGGACGCATGCGGGCGGTGGCACTGGGGCCTTCGGTGCAGCTCCCCAGTGGGCCACGAAGCCTGTGAGGGGTGTGCCGACATGGGTGCGACGGGCGCATGCGGGCGGTGGCACTGGGGGCCTTCGGTGGAGCTCCCTGTGGGGCCGCGAAACGTGTGAGGGGTGTGCCCACATGGGTGCGGCGGACGCATGCGGGCGGTGGCACTGGGGCATTCGTTGGGTCTCCCTATGGGGCCGAAACGTGTGAGGAGTGTGCCCAAATGGGTGTGTGCGGGGCGCATGCGGGCGGTGGCACTGGGGCCTTCGGTGGAGCTCCCGATGGGGCCGCGAAACGTGTGAGGGGGGGGTGTGCCGGATTGAATGTGGGGGACGCATGCGGGCTGTGGCACTGGGGCCTTCGGTGGGGTCCCCTGTGGCGCCGCGAAACGTGTGAGGGGTGGGCCGACATGGGTGTGGGGGGGAACGCATGCGGGCGGTGTCTCTGAGGCCTTCACTGGGGCTCCCTGTGGGGCCGCGAAACGTGTGAGGGGTGTGCCCAAACATGCGGGCGGTGGCACTGGGGGCCTTCGGTGGAGCTCCCTGTGGGGCCGCGAAACGTGTGAGGGGTGTGCCCACATGGGTGCGGCGGACGCATGCGGGCGGTGGCACTGGGCCATTCGGTGGGGCTCCCTGTGGGGCCGCGAAACGTGTGGGGGGTGTGCCGAAATGGGTGCGGCGGACGCATGCGGGCTGTGGCACTGGGGCCTTCGGTGGAGCTCCCTGTAGGGCCGCAAAGTGAGGGGTGTGCCCAAATGGGTGTTGGGGACGCAAGCGGGCGGTGGCACTGGGGCCTTCGGTGGAGTTCCCCATGGTGCCACGAAACGTGTGAGGGGTGTGCCGAATTGGGTGTGGGGAACGCAATGCGGGCGGTGGCACTGGGGCCCTCGGTGGAGCTCACAATGGGGCCACGAAACGTGTGAGGGGTGCGCCAAATTCGGTTTTCGGGACGCATGCGGGCGGTCCCACTGGGGTCTTCGGTGACCTTTCTATGCGGCCACGAAACGCTGTACTTGGAGGTCGAAACACACGGAGGAAGGAGGAGGGGGAGGAGGGAGGAAGGAGAGGAGGGAGGAGGAAGGAGAACGCGAGGACCGTCTCTTCAAAACGAGGGCCCAACACCACAGGATGGTTGGCAACAAATATGAGTGCGCGCTCCGAACCCGCCAGCCTGCCAGCCTTCCGAACAGCCAGCAAGCCTACGAACCAACTGAAGGGGGCCAGGGACACACACACATATATATATATATATATATATATATATGTCTGTATCAATATCTATATCGGAGGTGAGGGGGTGAGATCGAAGTGGAACGGAGAGCCCCCCTACCGGGAAATCGATTTCGGTTTCGTGTTCGTGGGTGCCGTGCGTGCGGGCGAGGCGAAGCCGCGTGGGCGGGCGAGAAGAAAGTCTCCTGTGGCTGAGGCGCGGCCGGACCAAATGTCTCCCTTCCGGGCGGCCGGTGGCCCGCGGTGTCCCGCCGGTGTCCCGCTGGTGTCCCGTGTGGCTGAGGCGCGGCCGGACCAAATGTCTCCCTTCCGGGCGGCCGGTGGCCCGCGGTGTCCCGCCGGTGTCCCGCGGTGTCCCGCGGTGTCCCGCGGTGCCCCGCGGTGTCCCGCCGGTGTCCCGCGGTGTCCCGCGATGATGATGATGATGATGATGATGATGATGATGATGATGATGATGATGATGATGATGATGATGATGATGGATGATGATGATGATGATGATGATGATGATGATGATGATGATGATGATGATGATGATGATGATGATGATGATGCTGATGATGATGCTGATGATGATGATGATGATGATGATGATGATGATGATGATGATGATGATGATGCTGATGATGATGATGATGATGATGATGATGATGATGATGATGAGATGAGATGAGATCGAGTGTGAGATAGATCGAGTGAGATCGAGTGAGATCGATTGTGAGATCGATTGTGAGATCGATCGAGGGAGATCGATCGAGCGAGACCGATACTGAGATCGATGGTGAGATCGATAGTGAGACCGATCGAGTGAGACGTTGGTTCCTCCCCCCCCGAACCTCCTTATCACCCGAAGGGTGGTCGTATAGGTATATATATATATACACATCTATATGTATATAATGCACAAATTCCAAGGTTCCCCATATCTCCTCATATGCCTTTGATTATCGTCACTGCCCCACTTCCCATAGTTTCCCACATGTTCCCGCTCAGCTCTTCGGCCAACCTGCCAGCCACCCATCCAGACAGCGAGCCAACCAGCCGGGTGGCCAGCCTGCCAGCCAATCAACCAACAAGCACTGCCGACCCAGCTCGGGCACTCAGAGGGACGGGGAGGGGCGGCGGAAGAGGGCGACGCTCTTCGTATTACTCTGCTGCCGTCCCCCATGATCCAACTCACGTCGCTGTTCTCGCTCGTCGGATTCGTCCACATCCTGGCGCTCAAGCTGGCATGGCATCGTGTCCTTGACGTGCAAGGTGACCACACGAGCGCCTGTCAGCCGAAGAACTGCATCTGTGAGCACGAGGTCGCACAACACCTCAGCGCGACATTCTCCTCCTCAGAGTCCTTCTCCACATTTCCCCTCCCCCAACCTTTCGCATTCTCCTCATCACCGCCTCGGTGCCTCGGAGCTGCGTCCCTCCATCTTCACGGTCTTCGAGCGACGTCTCCGACGGACGAGAGAAGAGCTGTAGAGTGGCCAACTTCTCATTGGCAGTACACTGCGAACATGGAAAGTGAAGCTCAACCAGGCGATGGGCGTCACGGCAATGTGGGGACTCGGATCAAAAAACAAATACGGAGAGTGCCAAATCAGTCTGTGTGCAATTCGCATCTTCCTCCTCCTCACCATAGGCCTCGTCCTCGTCTTCCTCATCCACATCCTCATCCTTATCATCCTTATCATCAGGGAAGGGGTGAGCGAAGGAGAAAGGTTGGAAAACGGGCTCATGAACGAAGGGTGACGGGGAGGGATGGGGAGATGGAGGGAGAGACAGGCAGCAGGGAGGCCGAGGAGAAGAGGGAGAGAAGGAGAAAAGGAGGGAGCAAACAGAAGGAGACTTCGCTTCGACACCCGTTCAGACTAATTCCACTGAGAAGTCATGGCGGCCCTGGGTTAGCGAGCATGCGACTGCATGCATTAAGAGGAGAAGGAGGAGGGCAACGACGAGCAGGTCGAAGACGGGGACGAAGATGGCGACGACCAGGAAGAGAAGCAGGACGAGGACGAGAGGACAACGAGGGACTCCTCTTCCTCCTCCGAACGGTTCTCTGTCCCTCCTCCCCGATCCCTCCTCAGCACCCCTCCTGCCCACCATCCTCAGCACCACCGTGTGGCTGAGTCGGTACCTCCAGGCGCGGCGTCCACGGGAAGGTGCCAAGATCATCCTCACCGCTAACGTAATCGTAATCAGCATCATCATCATCATCATCATCATCATCATCATCATCATCATCATCATCATCATCATCCTCATCCTCATCCTCACCATCATCATCATCATCATCATCATCATCATCATCAGCATCATCATCATCATAATCATCGTCAGCATCATCAGCATCATCATAATCAGCAGCATCATCAGCAACGTCATCATCGTCATCATCATCATCATCAGCATCACCATCATCATCATTACCACCACCACCACCACCACCACCATCATCATCATCATCATCATCATCATCAACATCATCATCATCATCTCCATCAACAGCAGCAGCAGCCTCATCAACGCCACCATCAGCAGCAGCAGCATGATCAACAATCCCATCATTAATAATGTTAAGGCCGCTCACAATAATGTTGAGACCGCTCGCTCCCAGAGGGTCATTCAACGTGCAAGGCCCAAGCCCTCGATGCCCACCCTCTTTCTGGGCATCGCTCGGACGTCCATTCCCTGTGCTTCTTTCGGTTTCGTGCGTGGTCTTTTCGCCAAATGATCAAGGATGCTCCTCGATGGTCCTCGCCGAAAGGAAAAATGCACACGTCCGAGCGATGCCAAGCTGTTGCCTTCGTTCGTAACCCCTTTATAGGGGGCATGGCTTCCTCTCCTGCCACGTGCCGTTGGCGCGGCCCCTCGGACACGAGGACGAGGGAGCAAGGAACACGTGAGACGGCGGGGAAGGGAGGGAGGGAACGAGAAGGGAGGGGGGAAGAGGCAGAGGGGAGACGAGCAGGGGAGGAGGAGACGAGAGGGGAGGGGGGAAGCGAGGAGGGGAGGGAGGAGGGAGGAGGGAACGACAAGGGAGGGAGACGGGGAGGGAGGGAGGGAGGAGGCGACGAGAGGGGAGGAGGAAGCGACAGGGGAGGCAGCCTGCTGGCGAGGCAGAGGCAGAAGGGGGAGGCACGCGCCGCCTCCTGCAGGGGCGCGACCGGGCGGCACGAGCCACGGGGCCGCGGTCGGACAGGCGGCGGACGAGGCCGGGGGAGCGCAAAGGGAAGTGCGGCCAGGCAGCGGGAGAGCAGCGCGGGGGGAGGGCGGCAGGGGAGGGGCTGGGCCGCCGCGGGGGGGGGGGGGGGGGGGCACGGCGGAAGCGGCAGAAAGGGCCGCCCGCACGCCCGGCGCCCGAGCCCGCGGTGCAGGGGACTCTCTCCCCCCGCCTCCCCTGTCCCCACTGTTCCTCCTCCTCCTCCTCCCCTCCCCCTCCCCTCCCCCTCCTCCCCCTCCCACCATTCCTCCTCCTCCTCCCCTCCTCCTCCTCCTCGTCCCCCTCTCCCTGCCCCTCCCCTTCCCACCATTCCTCCTCCTCCTCCTCCTCCTCCTCCTCCTCCTCCTCCTCCTCCTCCCCCATCCCCCTCCTCCCCCTCACAATGCCGTGGGGCGTCCTGCTGCAGTGCCGCGGGCGGCACCGGGCCGCTGGTCAGCTTGGCAGGACCCGGTACCCATGCCAGTTGTCGGGCGGCCGGTGCTCGTACTGCTTCATGAACTTCAGCAGGGCGGCAGAGGGGCCGTCCTCGGTCCCCAGCAGATGCCGGGTGACCTCGAGCATGTCCTTGGCAACGGCCCACTCGCCCGCCTCGTAGTTGAGGTAGGCCATGCGGAACCGGCTGAGGAACTCGTTCGTGAACTTCGTGCGCATGATCCTCATGTCCTTCTCCTTATCGAAGATGGAGACCATCTGGAAGTCGTCCTTCCACCGCTCCTGCCTCCGCTTCTGGCGCTCGAGGCGCGCCTGCCCAGACCTCTTGCTGTAGAGCGGGTTCAGCTTGCGGTCGAGCGGCAGGGCAACGTCGTCCAGGTCGAGGGTGTAGATGGCGAAATGGTTGGGGTAGCCGCTGCACATGACGTGATCGATCCGCCGGCACTCCTCCGCGACGTCCGGCGACATGAGCGTGTGGATGGTCTCGCTGAAGAGGATGAGAACCCCGTACGACTTCGTGTTCGCTTCCAGCCTGGTGGCCAGGTTCACGTTTGGGCTGAGGTAGCTGGCGTCGATCTTGAACTCGGATCCGATGGCGCCCTCGATGGCCCACCCTTTGTGGAGGCCGAAGCTGAGGCGGACCCGGTATTTGGGCAATCGCTTGATGAGCTTGAGGTGGCTGCGGTACTCTGCTAGCGACGGGGACTTGTTGATCTCTGCGATGACCTTGTAGAGCGACAACAGGGACATGTCTGCAAGCCTCCTCCTTTTGCTGTCATCCCAGCCCTCCAGGTCCCAGACCAGCAGGAAGGCGTCGCCTATGTTCCTGTTGGGGCTCCCGAAGAACTCATTGATGCACGAGTGGACCACGCTGGCGATCCTGTTGACGAATATCATGACCTGGTCCTGCAGCACCTCCGTCGCATCCGTAAAATTGCGGATGTTGCAGTAGCCGAAGATGGCGTCCACGCGCCTGCCCGGGATCATGACGTTCAACGCAGCCGAGTCCCCGCCCTTCATGTTGTGGCCGATGATACCAGCGCCCGCCTCGCCAAATCCGAGCGCCAACAGGGAACCGATCTTGATAATGGTTTTCTCCAGAACAACTGTCTCCATCGGCTCGGGAGTGGACGAAGTGTCGCCGCTGCTCAACCAATGGAAGGGATTCAGCCTCTCGCGCCAGCTCAGCTTCTTCCTCTTGAGAGTGGAGGAGCACACGCTTTTCGAGTCCGACATAGCATCGTCATCTGTGACCGACCTCCCCTCTCGTCGCGCGACCGCAGCCGCCTGTTCCTTCCGGTGCTCCTCGTCCCCGATCTGCATGGCCGACAACGGGTGCATCCTGATTGTGTTGATCTTCGCGATCATGCGCTCGATTGGGATAAGCACCAGCTTATTGGCGTCGTTGGAGAATGTCATCGAGCCGACCCCCAGGAGGAGACATATGAATATCGTCTGGGCGAAATTCAACAGGGCCTCGGCCCGGGATCCGCTGCGGCGGTCAAAGACGAACCACCAGTAGGCCTCCTTTACCTCGCTCGTCGTGGCGGAGGTCGGGAAGTAGACCGCTCGCTCCTGGTAGCGCAGCACCTCGGGGCAGTCCAGGCTGCTCTCGGAGCCCACGAGCAGAGAGACGCCGTGCAGCGCCCCGCCGAGGCAGACCTGCGCCTCCTGCCACTCCTTGTCCAGCAGCGCCCTCGGGTCGGAGGTGAGGTCGCTCTGGTAGAACTGCCAGTCCTGGCCGTTCCACCGGTCGTTGAGGTCGTACTCCCCGCCCTCCGGGAACCGAGGGAGGAAGTACTCGGCCCAGGGGGAGTCGGCAGGGCCCATGCCCACCCAGAACAGCTTGCCGGTCACATCGTCCGGGCTGGCTGCGGCGGAGTCTGGCCGTCCTGCGCAGAACGGGTTGTGGAAGTAGACGTACATCCAGAAATCGTCCACGTACATCGCCCGCTCCTCCGACTGCTGATAAGCCTGCGCCGCCGTGGCGCTGTCCCGTGGGCTGTACCGCGTCAAGCCGTCTCTCCAGGTACTGTACAGGTTGTTCAGACCGTACTGCGCCGAGACAGGCAGCGCGTCGCTGAAAAACACGGTCTGATCCTGGAAGCATGGTATGCCGAGCATGATGACGAGTACCAAGATCACCACGCGGCGTGTGGTCATCTCGGACAACTTCTTCGAGACCGCTGACTCCTTATTCATCTCTGCCTCCTCGTCAAAGTCCCAGTCTTGTCCAGGCAGTTGCTGCGTCTCTGGCTGGAGGTCTCTATTCAGGCACCTCACGAACTTGATCAGCCGGATGAGGCGCACGAGGCGAACCACCCGGCTGGCTTTCGTGCCCACTCTGCTCATCCTCGCGGCCCGCGCAGCCTCGGCCGAGCTGCTCCCCGCTGAGCTGGCACCGCCACCCGCGCCCTGGCTGTCATCGGCTTGGATCCTGCTGACCTCGTCGCCAAACAAAGTCTCCGAAACTGTAGTGATGTCGATCACGAGCGTACACGTGGAGATGATGTCGAGCCAGAAAAAGAAGCCGAATATGTATCCAGGCTGACCAAATGAGCGCACGAGCACCTCGTAGAAGAACACAACGATAGAACATTGGGTGACGATGTCAAAAAGGTAATCCGCTGGCTTCGTGGTCATGATGAGCCGGACGTCGTCTCCAAACAGCGCGAATATGGTCAGGACGACCGTGATGGTGTTGAGCACAGTGCTGGCTGCCTGCCTCTGGCAGAATCTCCTCCAGCTGTCCTCGACCCCCTGCATGGATCGGGTCGGGCGAAAGGGGGGGATAGCAAAGGGGGGGGGTGAGAATCAGCTCACGTAGCTGATTTTCCCGGCGCCTCCCGGCGCCGGAGGCGGCTATGTATCGAAGAATGGGCCCCTCGGCGAGGCCGAAACCAGCTGCATGCAGCTCGTGACCCCCCCTCTCCCAATCCCCCCCCTCTCGTCCGGCCCGAATGGAGCACGGGATCCTGACCCCGCGCCTCTTGCCGGCACCTCCCGTCGGAGAGTTGCGCGTGGCCACCCGCCTCGGCCGCCAGGAGGGGCCCTGCGCCTCGCTCGGGGGCGGCTTGCCCGCGTCGCCGCCCCTCTCCTTGCTGCCCCGGGGGGCGAGAGGCCCTGCCCCGGCGCCGGGCGGGCGCAGGCTGCTGGGCAGGCCAGCGGCCTTGCGAGGACTTGCTGGCCGGGGGGCCACGTGCGAACCCTGCCCCCCTACCCCCCACGATTTCTCGGGGGGAGGGTGGGGTTCACGTCGCTCGGGAGCTCCCGAGCGAAGTGAACCCCACCCTCCCCGTTGAAAATCGGGGGGTACACCCCACGATTTCTCAAGGGGGAGGGTGGGGTTCACGTCGCTCGGGAGCTCACGAGCGAAGTGAACCCCACCCTCCCCGTGAAAAATCTTGGGGGGGGGGGTAGGGGGGTAGGGTCCGCATGTGGCCCCCCACTGGCGGCTCGCCGCTCGCGCCCGCGGAGGCGTCGTGGGAGCCGAGGCGGAGCTGCAGCTGCGAGGAGCGTGGCGCCAGGGCGTCCTTCTCGAGGCGCACAGGGCCACGGGCGGAGAGTTGTGAGCCCCTCCTCGCCGAGCCGCCGGCCATCGCTGCCCGACGCGGACCACCTACCAGACCACCCCAACCCGACCCGAAAACCCAAATTTCGGGTTGGGGGGGGGTATGGGTTCCATGCGTGTTTTTTCTATGTTCCCCGACCCCCCCCCCCCACCACTGGAAATGGAGGGCAGATTGAGGCCTTCGGGTTGGGTTGGGGTGGCTTGGTAGGTGGTGAGACACTCCCCGGCCAGCAGAGGCAGAGGCGAGCAGGGGCCCAGGCTGATGCTGGAGCCAAAACGGCTACGGAAGAGGGAGAGACTCTCTCCCTCTTGCGGGTAGACGGCCGCGTCTTGCGGGACACCTCGTTTGCGACGTTTAGGCGCACGCGCTTCTCACTCGCGCAATCTGCCCTTCCCGCACCAACCCCTCGACTTCAAAATCGTCTGTTGGGCGCCGGGGCCATGAGAGAGAGGGGGGCGAGGAAGTGGTCAGTTGCACCACTGTCCTTTTGAGCGGCCGATCTCGCAAGGGTTGGGAGAGTCTGGTCTGGCTTGGAGGGGATCGGAAGGTCTGTGGCACCCCGGCGCTGCAAAATGCAACAACTGATATGGTTCTAGGGTTTGGAACGGGTTCTGGCACTCCGAGGTTGCGAAGCACTGAACACATAAGCCGGGGGCAGAAGCATGAAGGAACGATGCAGAGGAGGATGACGAGAGACGGAGAACGACGATGAGGATGATGAAGAAGGAGCGACGAGAATGAGACGAGCGGGTGATGCAGAAGAGCGAGGATGATGAAGGAGGAGCGACGAGAATGGGAAGAGCGAGGATGAAAACGAAACATGGACGCAAAGGTGTTCAGAAGGAGAGCGACGGTGAATGAGAAGAGGGACGAGGAGGAGGAGGAAGAAAAAGAGCATTAGCCTGGCGAAAGAACCAACCGTATGCAGTTGTGAGCACTGCAGTTGTAGGCATCGTCTTCGGCAGAGTCCCCGCACAGGGCCCCGAAACGCGGCGCCGGGCGGGGCAGACGCGTGCGGGCTGCGCCACTGGGACCTTCGGGGGAGCTCCCTATGGGGCCACGAAGCGCTGTGCTGGGTGCGGGGAAACGCATGCGGGCTGCGCCACTGGGACCTTCGGGGGAGCTCCCTATGGGGCCACGACACGGTGTAGTGGGAAGGGGAGACGCATGCGGGCTGCGACACTGGGACCTTTGACGGAACTCCCTATGGGGCCACGAAGTGCTGTATTGGGCGTGGGAAACGCATGCGGGCTGCGACACTGGGACCTTTGACGGAACTCCCTATGGGGCCACGAAACGCTGTACTGGGTGGGGGGGACGGCATGCGGGCTGCGCCATTGGGACCTCCGGTGGAACTCCCTATGGGGCCACGAAGCGCTGTACTGGGTGTGGGAGGCGCATGCGGGCTGCGCCACTGGGACCTTAGGTGGGGCTCCTTATGGGGCCACGAAGTGCTGTACTGGGCGTGGGAGACGCATGCGGGCTGACGGGCTGCGCCACTGAAACCTTCGGTGGAGCTCCCTATGGGGCCACGAAGCGTTGCACTGGGTTGGAGAGAAGCACGCGAACTGCAGTGGAGGGAGTAGGAGGAGGAGGAGGAGGAGAAGGAGGAGGAAGGAACGCGGGGCACTGTCCCTTCAAGACGAGGACCCAACACCACAGGATGGTTGGGAAAAACATGACGCCAAGGGTGAGTCGTTCGGTCCTCTCCCTCGTACACCCTCGTTTTCAGGGGGTCGCTCGATTCCACCCCCCTCCTTCCTCGTCCTCGGGCGAGTCGCACAATTCTCTCAATCCTCCTCCTCCTCCTCCTCCGAAGGCCGCGTCGGTGGTGTCGCACCCCCTACGCTCGATTGTGCTGATTGTTATATATATATGCATAAATACATATAGAGCGTCGGTTTGGTCATGTGTTGTGTGATACGTAGATTGTGTTGCCACACTTTTCCCACTGCTCTTTTCACCCCCGAACCCGAGCTCGGCGCGTCTTCACGTGTGATCGCTGCTCCTCCTCCTCCCCCCCCCCCTCCTCGTCCGAGGGTGTACCGCGCGGCCCCCTCCCTCCACGCGTCCTCGGTGCCTGAGGAAGGCCTGGCCTGCATGATGTTGCGCGAGCAACGGGATGCGGGCCACGCCACATGGTGCAAGCTGTGTGGCGAATCTACGCGCAAAAGCTACCTGCAAAAGCTACGTGCAATCTACGTACAAAAGCTGCGTGCAATCTACGTGCAATCCACGTGCAATCCACGTGCAATCACTGAAGGCTACCTGGCGCAATCGACGTGCAAAAGCTACGCGGCCCCAGCGACGCGGCGCGAGCTCTGGGCGCCCGCCTCCTCCTCCTCCTCCTCCTCCTCCTCCTCCTCCTCCTCCTCCTCCTCCTGGGGTCGACGTTATGACACAAAATCATAACGTCGGGGGCGTATGGGAGCACGAGTCGTCCACGCTACGTCCACGAGGCGCCAGCACCCAGAGGTTCTATGGTCAGCACTGCCCGCCGTGAACTCGGATTCAACATCGAAACGTTCCCAAAACCGCGCGAGTGGTTGACAAACATCGCACAAGTGCGGAATTGAAGCCGCGTGTCCCGACCCGGTTACAATAACAAATAATCGCTCTTTAGCGAAAACACTGTCTTCAGTTCGCATGTTCACTGTTTTGGTGCGTCCGAGGGCGGGTAAGGGCCCAGGATGAAGAACGTCGGTTCCCTGATCAAGAAAAGCTCCCAGGAACCCTCGTCCAGGGTGCAGCCGCGTTCCCGATTCGAATGGAATGCCATACATGTTACAAAAAAAAACTCTAGAACCACATGGGGCTGGAAGAAACCATAAGGAAACATACAAAACCCAAGTATCCGAATGGGACGACCAGCGAACGCAATGAAAACGACGCAAGACGAAACAATCCGTTCCAAGAGTCCAAAAAGCGTTCCGTGCAACCTGCTTTGCTGCTGCCGCCGAAAAAAAACAAATTAGCATGGCGAAAAATCCAACCGTATGTACTTGTGATTACCGCAGTTGTAGGTATCGTCTTCGGCGGGGCCCCCGCATACGGCCACGAAACGCTGCACGGGGCGGGGCAAACGCATGCGGACTGCGCCAGTGGGACCCTCGGTAAACCTCCCTATGGGGCCACGGAATGCTGCACTGGGTGGGGAACACGCATGCGGGCTGCGCCCCTGGGACCATCGGTGGAGCTCCCTACGTGGCATCGAAACCCTGCACTGTACTGGGGAGACGCATGCGGGCTGCGCCACGGAGACCGTCGGTGGAGATCCCTGCGGGGCCACGAAGCGCTGTACTAGCTGTGGGAAGCGCATGCGGGCTGTACCACTGGGACCTTCGGTGGAGATCGCTATGGGGCCACGAAACGCTGTACTGGGTGGGGAAGACGCACGCGGGCTGTGCAACTGGGACCTTCGGTGGAGCTCCCTATGGGGCCACGAAGCGCTGTACTGGGTGGAGGAGACGCATGCGGGCTGCGCACCTGGGACTATCGGTGGAGCTCCCTACGTGGCCACAAAACCCTGTGATGTGTGGGGGGGAGACGCATGCGGACTGCGACACTGGGACCTTTCATTTAACTCCCTATGGGGCCACGAAGCGATGTACTGGGTGGAAGAGACGCATGCGGGCTGCGCCAGTGGGACCTTCGGTGGAGGTTGTTATGGGGCCACGCACGCGGGCTGCGCAACTGGGACCTTCAGTGGAGTTAGCTATCCGTGGGGCCACGAAGCGCTGTACTGGGTGTGGGTGACGCATGCGGGCTGTACCACTGGGACCTTCGGTGGAGCTCCTTATTGGGCAACGAAACGCTGTAGTGGGTGGGGAAAGCGCATGCGGGCTGCGCCACTCTGACCTCCGGTGAAGCTCCCTATGGGGCCACGGAACGCTGCACTGGGTGTGGGAGACGCGCGCGGGCTGCGCTGCGCCACCTGGGACCTTCGGTGGAGCTCGCTATGGGGCCACGGAACGCTGTACTGGGTGTGGGAGACGCGCGCGGGCTGCGACACTGGAACTTCCGGTGGAGTTCCCAATGGGGCCACGAAGCGCTGTACTGGGTGTGGGTGACGCGCGCGGGCTGCGCCGCTGGGACCTTCGGTGGAGCTCCCTATGTGGCAACGAAGCGCCGTACTGGGTGTGGGAGACGCGTGCGGGCTGCGCCACTGGGACCGTCGGTGGAGCTCCCCATGGGGCCCCGAGCCGCTGCACTGGGCGTGGGGGTCGCATGCGGGCTGCGCCACTGGGACCTTCGGTGGAGCTTCCTGTGGGGCCACGGAACGCTGTACTGGGTGTGTGAGACGCGCGCGGGCTGCGACATTGGAACTTTCGGTGGAGCCCCCTATGGGGCCACGAAGCGCTGTACTGGGTGTGGGCGACGCATGCGGGCTGCGCGACTGGGACCTGCAGTGGAGCTCGATGCGGGCTGCGCTACTGGGACCTTCGGTTGACCTCCCTATGGGGCCACGAAACGCTGTAATGGGCGGGGGAAGCACATGCGGGCTGCGCCAGTGGGACCTTCGGTTGACCTCCCTATGGGGCCACGAAACGCTGCAATGGGCGGGGGAAGCACATGCGGGCTGCGCCAGTGGGACCCTCGGTTGACCTCCCTATGGAGTCACGAAACGCTGTAATGGGCGGGGGAAGCACATGCGGGCTGCGGCAGTGGGACCTTCGGTGGAGCTCCCCATGAAAAAACGAAGCGCTGCACTGGGTGTGGGAAACGCATGCTGGCTGCGCCACTGGGGCCTTCGGAGAAGCTCCCTGTGTGGCCACGAAGCGCGCTGTACTGGGTGTGTGGGAGACGCATGCGGGCTGCGCCACTGGGACCTTCGGTGGAGCTCCCTATGGGGCCACGGGCCACTGCACTGGGCGTGGGGATCGCATGCGGGCTGCGCCACTGAAACCTGCGGGGGAGCTCCCTAAGGGGCCACGAAGCGCTGTACTGGGTGTGGGAGACGCATGCGGGTTGCGCCGCTGGTACCTCAGATGGAGCTCCCTATGGCGCCACGAAGCATCGCACTGGGTGTGGGAGACGCGTGTGGGCTGCTCCAGTGGGACCGTCGGTGGAGCTCCCTATGGGGCAACGATGCGCTGTGTTGGGTGGGGGAAGCGCATGCGGGCTGCGCCACGGGGACCTTCGACGGAGCTTCCTATGGGGCCACGGAACGCTGTACTAGGTGGGGGAGACGCACGCGGGCTGCGCAACTGGGACCTTCGGTGGAGCTCCCTATGGGGCCACGAAGCGGTGTACTGGGTGGAGGAGACGCATGCGGGCTGCGCCCCTGGGACCATCGGTGGAGCTCCCTACGTGGCCACAAAACCCTGTGGTGTGCGGGGGGGGACGCATGCGGACTGCGCAACTGGAACTTTCGGTGGAGCTCCCTATGGGGCCACGAAACGTTGTACTGGATGGGAGAGAGACACGCGAACTGCGGAGGAGGGAGGAAGGGGGAGGAGGAAGGGAGAGGAGGAGGAACGCGGGGCGCTGCCTCTTCAAAACGAAGACCCAACACCACAGGATGGTTGGGAACAAGGAACGCTGGCTGTCATTATGTCCCCTTGGCCCGCTGCAGTCCTTGCGAGACTGCTTTGACAATCAAATGATCGCGCCAATGGGATGCGGCTCCTGCTTCCCTCCTGCGGCCTGCTGCTGGTATGCTCCTTATCATCCCTCTCCTGATTGCGGCCTCCTCCCCCCTTCCCCGCCGCTTTCCTCGGTTTCCCCCTTTCTCATCAACCTTCGTCGTCGTCCCTATGGCATCCTCCCCGCGGGCTGTGCACTACTAGAAGCTAGTCAGCCTATGAAAGCAAACTCGATTTCCTCATTTAGCACGGGGCGTAAGGGCTCGTCATCCTAGCCATTCGGTAGTCGAATGGCCCCTTCGCAGACAGCTCATGGGAGTCCAAAGGCCCCAGGAATCTTGATGTTCCACCAGATTATGTTTACTCGTTTGGTCGGAGCCCTGTCATGCTGATTTTCTGGAAGAGCCTAGAATGCAGATACGTTGCGTGATCGCGTCATTAGTGGTTCCAAAGCGGTTGGGGCACGCACATACGCACATGAACAGCTAACCGCAAAACCAACAGCTACGTGCACCACTGTGCAGTCGACGCAAAAGCAGTTTGTGAGACGGATAGGCTGGCGCGGCTAGCTAAACTTGAGATAACTATATAGGTCACCCTCAAAGACGTCATCCATGAATGTCACCAGCAATTCAAATATGCACTGGTCCTGCGTTGCAGTCGTACGATTCGGATGTGTCTGGTTATCTTGACATCCTGGCAAGGGCAAGCCGCACGAAAATCTCCAATACCATCATAGATTGCAAGATGCACCCTGGTGCAGACGCCATTTTATCAAATATGCCCTGCGTCTTTGTTGCAATCGTAAGAATATGGTAGATTTGGCCACTTTGCCTTCCCGGAAGGGGGGAACCTCACGCGAACGCCCAATGCCATGGTATCTTGCATGATGCTGCCAGAGGCGGAGACCCCATAGTGCCCCGTTCAACTGACTACGAGGAAGAGGAAGACGAAGAGGAAGATTTAGAGGAAGAGGGGGAAGTTAAGGGACGAGGAAGAAGAGGAGGGAGGAAGGGAGGAAGGGAGGGAGGAGGGGAGGGGGAGGAGGGGGAGGGAAGGAGGGAGAGGAGAGAGGAGCAGGCACTTCTGGCAGCTGGACCCGCCCGGGCGGGCGGATCCTCAGGCAGGTCGGGCGGGCGGACCCTGACGCGCGGGGCGGGCGGGACTCCGAGGCGGGCAGGCGGGCTCCCAAAGAGCGCGAGGGGCGGGCCCCCCGGTGGGCCGCCCGGGCGGGCGGGCCCCGACGGGCAGGTCCCGGCGGGCGGACCCTCAGGGGCGAGTCGGGCGGGCGGGCCCCGGCGGGGCGAACCCGGCGGCGGCGACGAGGGCCTCCCAGGGGGCCGAAGAGGGGGAAGACGGCCGAAGGGCAGCGGCAGGGGTGCCTCTTCCTCCGCCGAGCAGCGCCGCCTCGCGGCCGGCGGGCGTGCGCCCCGCCGGCCTCGGAGGTTCTGGGGCACGCATCCTGGGGCTCTGGGCTGGCGGTTTCCCAGCGGGCGCGGAGATAGGGGAACAGGATGTCACATAAGCATAAAAACTCGGAGGTCCGCGCGGATTTCTCGGATCGGCGCTGGACCCCCCTCTCTGGCGCGCGGAGCGCGCCAGGGGCGGCGCCGGAGGCGCCGCCGGGGGGCCCCAGCGCCGATCCGAGAAATCCGCGCGGACTTCCGAGTTTATTTGTTTACGTGACTTGTTGTTCCCCTAGGAGAGCAGGGGGTCGGGTGCCGGGGGTGGCAGTTCTGCTGGGCGTACCTCCAGCAGGCGGGCTGGCGGTGCGGCGCGGTGGCGTGTCACGCAGTGGCGGGGTGGCGGGGGAGCGCGTGGGGCTTGCGAGCGTGCGCGCGCGCGTCCGCCAGGCATGTAGGCGCCGCGGGTAACCGCGTGTGGACGGACACTGCCACTGGGGCCTTGGGTGGGGCTCCGTTTGGGGCCACGAAACACGTGAGGGATGTGCCAAACTGGGCGGGGAGCCGCACGCAAGGACGACCACTGGGGCCTTCGTTGAAGCTCCCAGTGGGGCCACGAAGCGTGTGAAGGGGGTGCTGACATGGGCGAGAAACCGCATGTGGACAAAGCCACTGGGGCCGTCGGTGAAGCCGCCTTGTGGGGCCACGAAACGTGTCAGCGGTGTGCCAAAATGGCCACGCGGAGGGCAGAGTGAAGAGGATGGGGAGGAAGGGGGAGGAGGAGAAGAAGGAAGAGGAGAGGAGACGCGGGGCGCTGTCTCATCAAAACGAGGACCCAACCCCACAAGATGATGTGGACAAAAACGGCAGGGCTGCTAGCAGATGTGCTTTGTCCCGCCCCAGGGCGCCAACTGTCTGACTACTGTTTTTTATCACGGTTGCTCCTCGCTGGTTGATCACTGCTTGGTCATGGAGGTGGATGGGTGGGGCATCATCATCATCATCATCATCATCATCATCATCATCATCATCATCATCATCATCATCATCATCATCATCATCGCCATCATCATCATCATCATCATCAGCATCATCATCAGCATCATCATCATCATCATCATCATCATCAGCATCATCATCATCATCATCATCACAATCAGCATCAGCATCATCACCATCATCATCAGCAGCAGCCGCAGCAGCATCAGCAGCAGCATCATTAGCATAATCATCAACACAAGAATCCTCATCATCACCAGCATCATCATCATCATCACCAGCATCATCATCGTCACCACCATCAGCATCATCATCACAATCAGCATCATCATCACCACCACCACCATCATCATCAGCACCATCGTCATCATCAGCATCATCACCATGTTCATCGTCATCGTAATCCTCATCCTACTACTCCTCCTCCGCATCATCATCATCATCATCATCATCATCATCATCATCATCAGCATCATCAGCAACATCATCAGAATCACAACAATCATCATCAGCATCATCAGCATCATCATTACCATCACCATCACCACCACCACCATCATCATCAGCAGCAGCATCATCATCATCACCATCACCATCATCATCATCATCATCAGCAGCAGCAGCAGCAGCAGCAGCATCACCATCATCATCACCATCATCATCATCAGCACCAGCAGCAGCAGCATCGGCAGCATCATCACCATACTTATCATCACAATCATCATCATCAGCATCATTACCAGCATGTGCAATATCATCATCAGAATCATCATCATCCTCATCATCAGAATCATAATCAGCAGCAGCATCATCATACTCCTCATCGGCATCATCCTCATCAGCATCACCATCATCCTGATCCTCATCGTCATCGTCATCATCATCAGCATCGGCATCATCCTCATCCTCATCATCCTCGTCGTCATCGTCATTATCAGCATCATCATCAGCATCATCATCACCTTCAGCATCATCATCAGCATCATCATCATCACCTTACTCATCCTCCTCGTCATCATCGCAATAATCATCAACATCATCAGCAGCATCATCACCATCATCATCACCAGCAGCATCATCAGCATTATCATCATCAGCAACGCCATTGTCACCAAGAACATCAGCAGCATCATCATCACCACCACCGCCACCATCACCACCATCATCAGCAGCATCAGCAGCATCGTCATCCACATCGTCATCACCACAACCACCCCACTAGAATCATCATCTGCATCATCGTCATGGTTGCGGTCGGACGTCGTCATCGTCAGCATCATCACCGTGATATATCTCAACACAATTATGGTTGTCAGCATCCTCCTCCTCCTCCTCCACCTCCTCCTCCTCCTCCTACTCCCCCTCCCCCTCCTCCTCCTCCTCCTCCTCCTCGGGAAGCTGGCCCTCCCCGCCACGCGCCTCGAGGCCATGATTGTCGAGGACGATCACCACCTCTTTGCCTGCCGACTGCTCTAGCAGGTCCAGCGCCGCAGCGGTGCGATCAGACACCATTCCTGGCAGCAGTCTGGGCTCATCCGGCTCCTCACCCTCGCCCACTCCATCCTCCTCCTCCTCCTCCTCCTCCTCCTCCTCCTCCTCCTCCTTCTCCTCCTCCTCCGCCACCTTCTCCTCCTCCTCCTCCTCCTCCTCCTCCTCCCTCCTCGCCTCCTCCTCCTCGTCCTCCATCCCCGCTCCTCCTCCCAATTCCACTCATCCCTCCTCCTCCTCCTCCTCCTCCTCCTCCTCCTCCTCCTCCTCCTCCTCCTCCTCCTCCTCCTCTTGATCCTCTTCTGCTTCAAATCGCGCCCTGCTTAGGACAAAGAATGTTTAGAACACACGTGACTGATTGCTTCATGATGCGAAAAGGCGTCCTCCGAACACTCAGTCTGTTGCACCATGACTGCGGTAATCCTCCTCCTCCTCCTCCTCCTGCTCCTCCTCCTCCTGCTCCTCCTCCTCCTCCTCATCCTCCTCCTCCTCGTCCTCCTCTGGGGTGATGGAAGAGCTGGCTCAAACAGCCAAGGAGTGACAGGGGAGACCCTGGACAAGACAGCACCAAGGGGGTCAGCTGCATGTCGCGCGTCACCTCTGCTTCCCATGATGGTGTCTCCAGCGCGTTGCCTTGTGATAGACGTCGTCCATCTCCAGGCGCGCCCAGCGCACCTCGCTGATCAAAAGCACCGCTCGCTCCCACTGCTCGCCCCGCCTGCACGCCCTCATCGCAGCATCGTAGCTGATAATGCTTGGCTCCAGTGCCGCCGCCCACAGCCCACCCAGCAACGCCAACGCCCGCTCCCACTGCCATCCCTTCTCGCACGCACTGATGACGGCGTTATAGCTGGTCGTGCTCGGCTCCAGCGCGGCCATCCGCAGCTCGCCGAGCAGCGACAGCGACCGCTCCCACTCCCCGCCCTTCTCGCACGCGCTCGCCGTGGCATTGAAGCTGACCACGTCCAGCGGCACCTCCACCCGGCGCATCTCGCCGATCAGCGAGAGCGCCCGCTCCCACAGCCCCGCCTTCTCGCAGGCGCTCAGGGCGGCGTTGTAGCTGACAGCAGTTGGCCGCAGACCTGAACGCCAGAGCTCGCGGAGCAGCGCCAGAGCTCGCTCCCACTGCCCGCCCTTCTCGCACGCGCTCATCGCAGCGTTGAAGCCTATGACATTCGGCTCTAAGCTTGACCGCCACAAGCCCCTCAACGAGCACAAAGCCCGCTCCCACTGTGCTCCCCGTCCGCACGCACTCGCCAGGGCGTTCAGGCTGATGGCATCCAACCTCAAGCGTGCTTCGCACAGCTCGCCCACCAACGACAGTGCCCGTGCCCACTGCGCACCCTTTTCGCACGCGCTCACGGCGACGTTGAAGCTGATGGTGCTTGGCTCTAGTCGTGCCCGGCCCAGCCTGCTGAGTAGCACAAGCGCGAGCTGCCATTGCCCGCCCTTCTCGCACGCGCTCATTGCAGCATTGAAGCTGATGACGCTGGGTCTCACATCGCGTCCTCGAAACTGGTCAAACAATAGAAGTGCTCGCTCCCACTGGCCACCTTTCTCGCACGCGCTCAATGCAGCATTAAAGCTAATTACGTTTGGCTGCAATTCCGACCGACGTAAGTCATCCAGCAATGACAGTGCATGGTTCCACCGCCCCCCCTTCTCGCATGCGCTCATTGCCGAACTGAAGCTAATTACGTCAGGCACCAACCTTGCCTGCTGCGTTACACGAAGCAAAGCCAGAGCATGCTGCCATTGTCTGCCTTTCCCGCAAACGCTGACTGTTGAGTTGAAGCTGATAAGACTCGGTGCCACTTTCACTCTGCGCAGCTCGCTTAGCAGCGACAACGCCCCCCTCCACTGCCCACCCTTTTCGCACGCGCTGATCGCAACATTGTAGCTAACGACGTCCAACTCCACGAGTGACCGCCGCAGCTCGACGAGCAATGTCAGCGCTCGGCCCCATTGGCCAGCATTCTTGCATGCACTCATCGCAGTCGTGTAGCGCACGACGCTCAATGACGAGCGCGCTCGCTGCAGCTCTCCGAGCGACCATAATGATCTCTCCCACTCTGCAGGCTTGTTCTTAGCACCGAGTTTGCGCAAGGGTCCTGCTCGCAAACCTCTGGCCACGGCTTCGTTCGCCACTGCGTGCTGGCCGTCGAATACGCTCGATCCTTCTGCTCCCCTGCGTTTCGAGCATCCCCCACGGCGCTGAACTGGATGAGCCCCGCCCCGCTGAAGACCCAAGTGCATGTCTGGGCAGCATGCGCGGTGGCCTGGTGCGCGCAACGTGCTTGTAGTCCGTGGTCCGAAAGAGGCATGGGACGTACAGCTTGCACTTCCGCGTGCAACCCTAACCCCGCAAGCTTTGACAGAATCAGCCTGACCGGCCGCAGCAAGAGCTGACCTGGAGGGGCAGCAGCCTGCTACCGCTCGCACGTGCATGTTGGTACACTGGCATGCTGGCAAGAGCACTCATGTCTGACCACAGGCCACTCGCATCCGGGAGGGCCTGCGGCGACAGTCTCAGCGCGCCGAGTCTCGCCCCCCCTTGCCACCAGGAGCAGTCGCCAGAATCATTGTGGCAATGTTGGAGGCCTGGAAATTGGCACCAACACCAGCACAGGGGGTTGCCTCCACATGGGAAAAATGATCCTAGATTTCGGTGCTGGTGGTAATATTTCGGTCACCTTGGAAACCAAAATATTACCACCATCACCGAGATCGGGATCGTCTTCCCTCGGTGGAGGCACACCGCCGATCTTGGTGTTGGTGTCAACCTCTAGGCCTGCGACACTGGCCTCGGCCGCCCGAACGGCAACAGACTCCGTCAAGGGACAAAATGAAATGAGCACGCATGGTTTGAGCAATCGGCTACGGGCGCTTCGCAAAGCTACAACGGAGAAAGCAAGTGGGGCGTCACAGAGGGAAAATACATAGGAAGAGACGTCTGCAAGAAGCCCAAATACGAAGACCTTCAGTCCTGTCGATGAGAAGCCAACGGGCAGATGTCGCCCTCCCGACCGTGATGGATGACAAGAAAGTTTCATAGAAACCTCCTCCGATAGAATTAGCCTGGCGAAGGACCAAGACATATGCAGTTGTGCGTACCGAGATTGAGGATATCTTCTTCGGTGGCGCTCCCTATGGGGCCACAAATCGTGTGAGGAGTGTGCCAAAATTGATGCGACGGAGCCATGTGGACGGTGGCACTGGGGCCTTCGGTGGAGCTCCCTATGGGGCCACGGAACGTGCGAGGGGTGTGCCGAAATGGGTGTGGGGGACGCATGTGGACGTGGGGCTGGGGCCTTCGGTGGAGCTCCCTATGGGGCCACGAAACGTGTAAGGGGTGTGCCGAAGTGGGTGCGGGGGACGCATGTGGATGGAAGCACCAGGGCCTTCGGTGGAGCTCCCTATGGGGTCACGAAACGTTTGAGGGATCGAAATGGGTGTGGGGGACGCATGTGGATGGTAGCACTGGGGCCTTCGGTGGAGCTCCCTATGGGGCCACGAAACGTATGAGGAGTGTGCTGGCATGGGTGTGGGGGACGCATGTGGACGGTGGCACTGGGGCCTTCGGTGGAGCTCCACATGGGGCCACGAAATATGTGAGTGGTGTGCCGAAGTGGGTGCGGGGGACGCATGTGGACGGTGGCGCTAGGGCCTTCGGTGGAGCTCCCTATGGGGCCACGAAACGTGTGAGGAGTGTGCCGAAATGGGTGCGGGGGACGCATGCGGACGCGGCCACTGGGGCCTTCGGTGGAGCTACCTATGTGGCCACGAACCGTGTGGGGTGTGCCGAATTGGGTGCGGGGGACGCATGTGGACGGTGGCATTGGAGCCTTCGGTGGAGCCCCCTGTGGGGCCAGGAAACGTGTGAGGGGTATTCCGGAATGCGTATGGGGAACACATGTAGACGGTGGCGCTGGGGCCTTCGGTGGAGCTCCCTATAGGGCTACGAAACGTTTGAGGGGTGTGCCGAAATCGGTGCGGGGGACGCATGTGGACAGTGCCACTGGGGCCTTCGGTGGAGCTCCCTATAAGGCCACGAACCGTGTGAGGGGGGTGTCGAAATGAGCGTGGGGAACGCATGTGGACGGAAGCACCAGGGCCTTCGGTGGATCTCCCTTTGGGGCCACGAAACGTTTGAGGAGTGTGCCGAAATCGGTGCAGGGGACGCATGTAGACGGTGGTACTGGGACCTTTGGTGGAGCTCCCATGGGGCCAGGAAACGTGTGAGGGGTGTGCCGAAGTGGGTGCGGGGGACGCATGTGGACGGTAGCACTGGGGCCTTCGGTGGAGCTCCCTATGGGGGTCACGAAACGTGTGAGGAGTGTGCCGAAATCGGTGCGGGGGACGCGTGTGGACGGTAGCACTGGGGCCTTCGGTGGAGCTACCTATGGGGCCACGAAACGTGTGAGGAGTGTGCCGAAATCGGTGCGGGGGACGCATGCGGACGGTGGAACTGGAGCCTTCGGTGGAGCTCCCTATGGGGCCACGGAACGTGTGAGGGGTGTGCCGAAGTGGGTGCGGGGGACGCATGTGGACGGAAGCACCAGGGCCTTCGGTGGAGGTCCCTATGGGGCCACGAAACGTGTGAGAGGGGTGTGCCGAAATGGGTGCGGGAGACGCATTGTGGACGGTAGCGCTGGGGCCTTCGGTGGAGCTCCCTATGGGGCCACGAAACGTGTGAGGGGTCGAAATGGGTGTGGGGGACGCATGTGGACGGTAGCACTGGGGCCTTCGGTGGAGCTCCCTATGGGGCCACGAAGCGCTGTACTGGGTGGGTGAAACGCAGGGAAGAGGAAGGAGGGGGAGGAGGGGGAGGGAGAAGAGAGGAAGGAAGAAGAACGCGGGGACCGTCTCTTCAAAACGAGGACCCAACACCACAGGATGGTTGGGAAAAACTGTGTTTGGTTCGCTGGGGAGAGAATTGAAGTGCCTACAACACCCCTCCGGCAAAAAAACACGGCCGGAGAACCCAACGATATGCAGCTCCGAATACTGCAAGGCAGGTGATACGAAGGGGAGCGGCGATCAAACTACGAGCGGCATACGATATGCCGATGGGGCCTACGGTGGAGCCCCCTATGGGGCCACGAAGCGCGTGAGCAATGCACCAAAATGGAGCGGGCCGTCACGCGAGCGCTGCCACTGGGGCCTTCGGTGAAGCTCCGTGAGGAGCGTGCCGACGTGGACCCGAGTTCGCATGCGGGCGCTGCCGCTGGGGCCGTCGGCGGAGTTCCCTGTGTGACCCCGAAATGTGTGAGGGTGTGCCAAAATAGACCTGTGTCCGCACGCGTGCGCTGCCACTGGCGCCTCCTGCCACGAACAGTGTGAGGGGCGTGCCAGCATAGGCGTGGCCAGGGCGTCGAACCCCGCCAAGGGGGCCTGTTGTGGAGTTCTTGAGGGGCCGCGAAGCGAATGGGAGGTGCGCCCTGCCACTTAGGCCTTCTGTGGAGCTCCTATGGGGCCACGAAGCGCGTGAGGGGTGTGCCGGACTGGGCGTGGTCGGACATACGAACCCTGCCATGTGGGCCTCCTGTGGAGCTCCGATGGGGCCACGAAACGTGCGAGGGGTGCGCCAGGATTGGCGTGGCCCGGCTGCAACGCGCAAGGCAAAAAAAAAGCTTTACAGGTAAAAAAGATGTTTTTTGCCTGTGGCGTTTTTTTTTTTGCCTTGCGCGTCGGGTCCCCGGGGCATTGGCCGGGGCGCGCGCGCCGGGCGGGGGGGTGCTCCTCCGCTTCCCTCGGCCTGGCTCACAAAAGGAATCGCGACCAGGGTTTTGCCTGTGGCGCTCCTGGGGCCCAAAGAAGGAATCGCGACCTGGGTTTTTGCCTGTGGCGTTTTTTTTTTGCCTTGCGCGTCGGGCCTCCGGGTCTTGCCGAGAGCGCGCGCGTGTAGAGGAAGTGCTCCCCTGCTCTCCTCCGCGTCAGTGGCGCTCCTGAAGCCCAAAGAAGGAATCGTGACCTGGGTTTTTGCCTGTGGCGTTCTGGGGCCCAAAGAAGGAATCGTGACCTGGGTTTTTGGCCTGTGGCGTTTTACTTTCGCCTGCGCGCTCGGGCCGGGCGGACGGAGGTGCCATGCGGACGCAGCCACTGGAGCCTTCGGTGGAGCTGCATATGGGGCCACGACCCGTGTGAGGGGTGTGAGGAGATATGGTCGGGCATGCGGTGAAAGTGCTGACGATGACGGGAGGGGAGGAGGAGGAGGAGGAGGAGGAGGAGAGGAGGAGGAACGCGGGGGACTGAACGCTGGAGGCCGATGCGAAGTACTAAAGATGAGGCGGTGTATTAGGAGAGGGACGACGACAAAGAGGACGAGAAGGAAGAGAAGGAGGAGGAGCAAGAGGGGGGACGCAGGAGGAGGAGGCAGAGGAGAAGGAGGCACAGAACGAGGACGAAGAGGAGGACGAGAACTCTCACGGGCGGGGCGGGACGGGGCAGACCCTAGCAGGCGGGTCGGGCGGGCGGACCCTAACGGGCGGCTGGGGACAGGCGGGCGGGACACTAAAGTCTGATACATATACGGCATGACGCATGAGAACCCTAACGGCCCGGGCGGGACGGGCGGACCCTATCGGGCGGGTCGGGCGGGCGGACCCTAACAGGCGGGTCGGGTCGGGCGGGCGGGACACTAAAGTCTGATGCGCATACAGCGTGACACATGAGAACCCTAACGGGCGGGACGGGACGGGCGGACCCTATCGGGCGGGTCGGGCGGGCGGACCCTAACGGGCGGGTCGGGTCGGGCGGGCGGGACACTAAAGTCGGATGCGTATACAGCGTGACACATGAGAACCCTAACGGCCGGAACGAAACGGGCAGACCCTATCGGGCGGGTCGGGCGGGCGGACCCTAACGGGCGGGTCGGGTCGGGCGGGCGGGACACTAAAGGCTGATGCGCATACAGCAAAACGCATGAGAACCCTAACGGCCCGGGCGGGACGGGCGGACCCTATCGGGCGGGTCGGGCGGGCGGACCCTAACGGGCGGGTCGGGTCGGGCGGGCGGGACACTAAAGTCTGATGCGCATACAGCGTAACACATGAAAACCCTAACGGCCGGAACGGGACGGGCGGACCTACCGGGGCGGGTACAGGTCGGGCGGACCCAAACGGGCGGTCGGTCGGCGGGCGGGACATATATATGTACGTCGATGCGTATACAGCGTGACACATGAGAACCCTAACGGCCGGAACGGGACGGGCGGACCCTATCGGGCGGGTCGGGCGGGCGGACCCTAACGGGCGGGTCGGGTCGGGCGGGCGGGACACTAAAGGCTGATGCGCATACAGCAAGACACATGAGAACCCTAACGGGCGGGGCGGGACGGGCGGACCCTATCGGGCGGGTCGGGCGGGCGGACCCTAACGGGCGGGCGGGACACCAAATTCTGATGCGTATACAGCGTGACACATGAGAACCCTAAGGGCCGGAACGGGACGGGCGGACCCTATCGGGCGGGTCGGGCGGGCGGACCCTAAC